GCCCGAGCTGAGCAGCCGCTGAGCTGCCAACAGGTGGCAGGAGGGCTCAGCTAAAAAAAAAAAAAAAGAAAAGAAAATGTGGCCTTTTCTTACAGGGCAAAAACCAGTGGATAGTTGTACCTTTATCTCCACAGGACTAACACAGTGCCTTATACATGGCAGGTGCTTATTACAGCCCCCTTGGAGGAGTGAGTTGCAGGGAGTAGGCTAAGGGGTAGAAGCTTGTTGCAGGTTCAGGAAGCAGAATCCTAGGTGAGATGCTGCCTTGGGGGTTCTGGGCAGCTAATGGGCATCCCAGGGGGAATGAGTGCCCTCAGGGAGGGGGCAAGAAAAGAGGGTGGGGTGTCCAGCCGTAGAGGCCATCCTCAGTGTTCCCCAGTTCAGAGCCGGCTGGTGTGGGGGGCTCTCTTGGGCTTCACTTTAGCACCTATTTCCTCTTTGTTCCTCTTTTTATTTTGGATTTAGAGTAGGATTTCTCAGTGTTTGACAAGCAAGCCCTATCCTCTCACCCCTATGCTAGAAACCTTTAGTGACTCCCTCTTCTCAAGAGAATGTCCAAATATAGCTTGCAAAGCCCGTCGTGATCTGCTCCTCTAACATGCTCCCTCTTTATTTCTTGGCATTCCCCCCTCACACTGCCCCATACTGAGCTGCTTGTGGTTCCCCTTCCTTACCTCTGAGCCCTTGTACAAGCTCCTTTTACCTAGAACTCCTTTTCCCTCCATTTTTCCGCTGGCTAATTTCTTCTTCCTCCAGGAAGTCTTCTCTGATACCTTCTTCACTCCTTCCCCCAGATTGGTTTGGTGCCCTTCTAGGTTCCCACAGTACAGTAGCATTAATCATACTGTTTCAGGAGGAACTGACAACCCAAGCTCCAGTTCTCAGCTGCCCACTCCCTTCTATTAGATAATAACAAAGGAAGTTGATGTTGCTGTCCTTGGGCAGCCAAGGAGGAACTATTTAAAAATAGCTGGGTGAGGGAAAGTGGCCAGGACCTGGGTGGCTTTGATGCTGCCTCTCCCTCTTTTAGAATTGGAATGAGGCATCAATTCTCCTACCACACTATGGTTCAGGGAATTGCATTTTGTGGGATTGTTATCTTCAGGACTAAAGTGGAATTATTTATATTCCAAACTCTCCTTGAATAGCTCTTTAATTATCTATAATGTTTTGTATATGCAACCCCACATCAGTTTATTTGCAATGGCCATTGTTGCTCTGGTTCTCAATCAATTAAATGTCTTCTTTAAGTTTTAGTCCAAGTCATTCGTGTCTTCTTGCCTGATCACCTGACAGTGTGTTTTGCTTTTTTGTTGGTAATTGGGAAGCCCTAAAATCATTGACACATTCCACTCCCCTTTCATCCTCCCCCCACCCCCATCATGTCTGCTGCTTGTTTGGTGCATTGGGACACTGCACAGTATATGGTTAAACTCATGTAAATTAATTGTTTCTTCCTTATTGTATCCCCAGTGGATGAGCCAGAAAAGGTTTCATAGTGGGGTGACTTTGAAGATGGGGTGGGGGTTTGTCAGGTGAAAAGGAAGGGGAGGGGCAGAGGCATATGCCAGAGCTGGGAGGCGTGAAAGAGCTTATGACTGAGGGACAGTCAAAAGTTCACTGAGGTTAGAGGATACCGGTGGGCTTTTAGGGATCTTACACTCCGCATGACTAAATCTGTTGGAGGTACACGTTCTTCACCTGTCATAACAGGCATAGTACCTAACTCTAGGGCTGTTCTGAGAACTTAGTGGGCAATGCTATGAAAGCTCTTAGTCCAGGCTTGATACATAGAGATGTCACATTAATGTGAGTTTCCTTACCTATTGTACTTCCCTTCTTAAGAAGAAGGTAAATATCACCCCTGCTTATAGGATAAAGTCTATAAGCAGGGGTGATATTTAAAAGATTGAACCACCAGTACAACCCAGGTACCACCCAGTCAAAACAGATATGAGTCAAAACCAACCAGCTGAGGGAATTCTTTCTAGGGGATTAAGTGCCCTTAACTAGAGTGAAGAAAAGCACTGAGGCAGAAAAACCCCACTACCCTGGGAAATGTTAGGTTCTCGATGTCCTCTAGGACTTTATCCATATCTAGTCTGTAATAATCCACCTCAGACCCAAACAAGCTAATTTTACTTTTATTTGTGGACACACTGTTATGTGGCTGACCTCAGCACCACCCGAGAGAAAACTGACCTAGAAGGGAAAGAAACTAACATGCTAAGTGTTTTATATATGTTCTCTCTTTTGAACCTTCCCCAATCTTGAGAGGTGAGGCATCATTAGATGCATTTTATTATTATGGAAACCGAGACTTTGGTTGTTGGTGATGAGAGGCATCTAGCCGAGGTCCATGTTGCTCCAAAGTACGCTCTTTTCTCTGTCACTTTGGATTTTCAGAATCTTTCTCCTCTTCAGTTTAAGCTTCAAGGTCATTTACCATTTCTCACTCACCCATCCAGCCATCCAACTCATGTTGAAGACAAACAACTTGAAAGATATGTTTTAATTTCACACACACACACACACACACACACACAGAGAGAGAGAGAGAGAGAGAGAGAGAGAGAGAGAGAGAGAGAAAAGTGACATGCAATCCCCATCCCCTAACAAACTACACACTCTTGGAATACAGAGTAAGAAGGAAATCCAACCAGTCTGGATGAGATAAAAATTTGGTTTCACAAAGCTGAAAAATCCATTACAAAGTCTCTGTTATATAAATATAGTCAGTCTTATCTTTAATGTTGAGTCAGACTAAAAAAAAACAACTAAAAAAGCGTTTTGTTGGCATAAGAAATCTCCTGGTCCTTGAATACACCACAATCTTCATTTGTGTTCCCAGCCAAATACAGGTGACACCTACATGAGGAGAGATCCTTGTGTGTTCTAGGACTTTAGGTAATCAATTGGGGTTTAAATCTTTTATCTCCTGAGCCCATACTCCCTCCCTCAGTAGCTTATGCAAACCACTATAGCCTTAGTTTAAGGGCTAAAGGCTTTTCATATATACCATCTAATGTGTCTGTTCTAAAATTGATTATGGTGATGGATACATTATCTGTGAGTATGCTAAAATCCATTGACTTGTAAATTTTAAATAAGTGAATTGTATAGAGATTTGAACTACATCTCAAAAGAGCTGTGAAAAAATATATCTAATGTGTCTAAGTTGCTAGGGGAGCAATAGATGACCCTGATAGCATAACTAAGGGGTTCCTGGAAGGACCCAGGAGAACCACAAAAGTTGGTACACTAAGGGACAGTAAAAAGGAGATCCTTAAAGTATTATGACTAAATCAGTGGAGTTAGAGATTGCTCTGGGAGCACTCAGTTTCAAGATGTCACAATAAAGAAGCCACCGGGGTATGTACTTTGTCCTACAGCTTCTAGAATAGTCTAAGGATGTTCTGTGGGCTTTGTCACAAAAGCAAGTTATGTAGTTGGCAAGCTGATGCCCAGGGTGTTGCTGAGGACGCAGAAAAACCTTAGGCTGGAGCTAAGGAGCTAGCTATTTGCATCCATTTGGAGAAATTCCAACATGGCCACAGCTCCTGTGAGGAGGGAGGATTTGAAAACCCTAAGAAAAATTTCTAGATTTATTGAATCAAAGGGACTGCCTGCCTTCAGTGATGCTGTTGTTGGCCAGAAGTCACGGCAGGGCTCCAGTTCTCACTGACCCTTTTATAAGACGACTGCCGGGGCGGCAATGGCTAAGAAGACCAGCAAGCTATCTCTTGGCAGACGCACGACTTAGAAATGCTATCTCCATTCTATACCTACCATCTGATTACCAAATGGCCACTTGAGAGAAGAGGCACAAACCCTGGGCACCTGGGTCCTTGACCCAGGGATGGTCATTCTAGCCTGATAGGGAGGGAGGGAGAATTGCCAGTAGTAGAAAGCAAAAGGAAATTTAAACTCTTGCTCTGGTTTTACCATTCTAGTTAAAGTTCATTGATTATATTTGGTGTAAAAGTGGAGAAAAGGGGCACAGAGAACACTAGCTTTACTCACCTTTCAAAAGGATGCTGCCAGACATTGGGGCCAGAAGTCTTTTTAGTGTTTTAACACACAAAGAAAAGGGAAGGACAGGCTTGAAAGTGCGATGTGTCCCAGTTTGGTGAACACTGTGTTTAACTCCCTTAGTCTTTCTGCCTCGAAGACTGATCTTGTTCTGTTGCTGGGATATGGTCCTTTTTCGGCTAACCTAGACATTGTTTATTCAACATGGCTGAGCAGACTAAAAGCTCAGAAGCAGACATAGCCACCTCAGGTCCATCTCACTGGGCTGGATCTCTCAGTATGGCCCCATTAAAACCTTGGCCTCTTGTGTCCTTTCAAAATATGTTTCATGATATAACCCAAGCCTCTAGGAATGGGGCATTCAGGGATAGGGACTTTTCCTCATTGGCAGGGTTTGTCATTTCTGTGGGTAAAGACAAACATATAATAAGGCTAGAACATCCAAGTTTGGGGCTTACCTGGTTCTCTTTAGTGTTACTGGAAGATAGTTTAGTGGGAGATTTTTAAAAAATGGAGAAAATAAACTCGCCAGCCCTTTGGGTATTTTCTCAATGAACTTTTCTTTTGGCGCCAGTAAGAATATTTATCACTTACTTAAGGAAAGGGAATGAAGTTTAAAGAACAAAACCAAACCTTCATTATTGCCTTTTCTTGCCCAGGCCTTGCTCACCTGGCCCTCAGCCTATCCATTACACTCAGTCTGAGCTGGTAACCCAGGAGAGATGAATCCAGGCAACCATGAAGACGGTCCTCTGGGGAACTCCGATACCCTCCTCACTCATCCTCTCCCCTAAAGAGATCATGAGCCCAGGGCATATGATTGGGGAAACTCCCAGCTGCTTCTGGCCTTAAATGAGAGGGCAGAGGAAGTAGTTTCTATTCTTCAGAAGAGAGAAATCTTTTCATTCCAGAGCTATAAGAATTAGGAACAAATGTAGCTATGGCTCTGCGGCTGGACCATTTTGGGAAACAAGAGGCAGTCAAGGGAGTAATATACAAACAAAATGTGGGTATATTTGGCAGGTTGGAGGCAAGCAGGAGTGTTTGGGTACTCTATATAAAAAACCCCAAAGATCTGAAATTCACTTCTGATAAGGCCACAATGAAGAGATTTTTCAGCAGTGGGTGTTGCAGGAAGCTGGCACCCAAACTGTCACAGGCTTGCAAGGTGATGTGCCACGGCGAGGAGGCAGGAGAGGCAGGGCAGTGCCTCTCACAGGTCCATGTCTGGGCCTCCTGAGGATGTCTTCAGTGGCACTGAGTCAAATCCATCAGGCGTCCTCTGAAAGAGAGATGGTGACAGGAGCTGGCTGCTGCGCAGGGGCAAGTTTGGGGAACAAAGGAGAGAAATGGAAAAGAGGTGACAGAAGGAACCCTTGTGGAATTCCTGCTTTCAGTGGAAACGTAGACATAAGCTACCCTCTATTCTTCTTGCTCCCTTCAGTCAGTCAGAGAATAAGAAAAATCTTTAAAACCCTCTGCTTTGCTGAATTCTAGAAGTTTCAGAAAGACTCAAGGGTCTCATGGTGAATAATTCTCCCACTGGTAAAAGAAAAGGAAAAATCAAGGTCTCAGGAAGCCTGGGAATCCCTCTGGTAGGTCAGCACGAAGGGATTCAGCAATCTGAACACATACCCGCCTCCTTTCCTCGCTGTCCCTCCCTGTCCTCTGTTCCTGCCTTCCCACCCTCCCTGCCCACACCTGTTTGGATGAACTGGTTCAGGGCAGCAGTGAGGTGCAGGTGCTGGCAGAGTGGGGCTGCGGAAGGCTGTGGCCCTGCAGTAGTTGCTTGGATGCTCTCCAGTGGCCCTATGCCCAGCAACAGTGTTGTCTGTCTTGCATTTATGAGCTTCAAACTCACCTACCCGCACAAAGCCAGCTCAGAATTGCTCAATTCCTAACAGCTTAGATGTAGCGATGAGTCAGCCCCCAGAGGGCCAGGCCCAAACATCTAGGGGACAGCACCCTCCACTGGCCAAAGGAGAGCCTCACTTTGATCAGAATCAGATACTAGAGATCACCTCTTCCCCTCCCTCCAAAAAAGAGCAGCCAGGGTTAGGGGTGGGGTGGGGTGGGGTGGGAATGATTCTTACAACGTGGATGATTCAATACTCCTTCTGGAAGTTAAAAGGCCCAAACAGTTCATCAACTGGAGTGCATGTTGGGAGAGAAGGAGCCCAGTCAAGAGCAGCCTTGGGCCCCAGGGAAAAGAGTATTGGTGTGAAAATACAGAAGGCAGAAACCAGGATTTTCAGGGTGGGGTGATAGAATAGTATGGAGGGTGGGGAGTAGAGTAGTGGTTTCTGAACATTGTGGGCCATTCAGTGTCCTAGGACTGGTGTCTTCTCCAGCCCTCCAGGCTGACCTCAGGGCACTGGGCAGGCTTCTTACCTTGGAGGTAAATGATTTGATCTTCCCAAAGAGTGACTTCTTGCTGGTAAAGATGAGGTCATCCTCCACGTCCTCGCCTTCCATGATGGCACAGCTGTCAGCCGCTGGCAGGTCACAGTCCTTGAGGGTAGCGTTCATCACCAGCTTGGAGTACTTGTACTCTAGTCTGTGAAATGGGGATGGGAAAGACAAGACACCAAAATGTGGAGTCAGGGGGAAAGATGGACAGAGGTTGGGCTGTAAACAAGATGTTCCCAAACCATGGGTAAGGAAACTGACGTATAGCAACGTGGTGTTGGGCTGGGCATATAGCTAAGCAGTCTTGGCTCTCAGGTCAGTGATCTTTTTCCCTTAAGGCTGGCTGTTTCTTTGATCTCAAAGTTTAATAGACATATTAGAATCATAAAGTCATTATTTTTAATACTTATAACAAAGATACTCTTTGCTTTACTTTTGAGACTCTAATAGCCATTTATAGACTGCCATGTGGTACCATCCCTGTTCAGGAGTCGGGATAACCAAGGCATACATTGGATAACTGGCTCAACAAGTCAGAGTCACAGAAAAAAGTCCAGAAAAAAGCCCCATGAATTTATCCTCTCACATGTCCCCCTGGCTCAATGATCCACACCAGTCCATCCCAAATCTTCAATACCCCCATCATCATGTACTTTTGATTCTTTTTCCAAAAGTAACAGGTCAAGACGGTGAGCAGGATGGCAGTACAGGTGCCTGCAGAGATGCCCACTTTCAGCCAGAAATCTATCGTTTTGCAGATGGTGACTCTCTGCTCAGGCAGGGAGATGCCACTCACGCATAGCTTTGGTTCTCGCCACACATAAGTAGTCTTCTGTTGGGGAGAAGAACAAGGAACTCAGATGTCACATTCCCTTTTCTCCTGGGAAGTCCCTAAGCAGAGAAACATACCTGGATCCCAGCCACACAGCTGCTAACGATAGCATGGTAGTCAGCGGCTGAGCAGAGCGGACAAGCGGCCGCGCTCTCCCACAGGAAGTGGAAGTTACAGCCATCACAGGTCCCATCAGAGCACGTGCTAGAAAGCAAGAAGGAGACTTGAGCGCTTACTCAGTGGACCAGTGGGGCAGATCTGGTTGGAGTCCTGTCATCTCATAGCTTGCCTGATCCATTTTCTCCTTGCCAAACTGTTAACCCCACCAGGATCCTTCCAACTAATCCTTAACCCAGGTTTTGCTCCTTGATTTCCTGGACGATAAGAGGCCTCCCCAGGCTCTATTGGGCTTCCCACACTGTGTTTGTTTCTGCTGACATCAAATGAGAGCTAAAGTAAGGTGTCTTGAGCTCTAGCATGCTTGCCCCAGCCAACACCTCAGAGGCTCCTGTTCTCCCCATGAACTCGTGACATTTTGCAGAAGCCACTTCAATGCAGCTTCTTTGGGGTGGGGTTCAGGAATGGACTTCAGGTCATGGATATCTATTATGTACTTTCCTGTGACGTTGACAACATCAGCTGTGCTCTTACATTTTGACACCATTGCTGGGTCAAAATATCCTGCTTTGCTCCCCATCTCCCCGATCAGTTGTTTTAGAGAAGCATTTTCCAAACCATCTTTCTCAAGATACTAGTGCCCCTCAAGATGTTAGTTGGTGTTTTGTTGGGGTGGGTGGGAAAAGGTGAGGTGGAGGGGTACTGTGACCAAATTAGTTCAGGAATTTTTGATTTAGTGCACCAAGCTCTTAAACTCAGAATTGGATCTTTTAGTAGTGGAGATATTTCTAGGGTTCCCCAAACCTTTATTAATCGTAATCATAGCAAGTACACAGCCAGGCACCATGAAAATTCTTCAAGTCTCACTGTTTCATTTAATCTTCACTACAAGCCCCTGAGGGAACTTATTATTATCCCCATGTTACAGATCATGAAAAAGGAAGCCTAGAGGAGCCGAGAAATGTATCCACATTAACAGAGCAAGTGAGGAGATTAATCAAGTCTGGCTCTCAGCCCCAGCAGTTGGCCACTCTGCTGTGCTTCTGCCCCCATGATGTTCTGAGAATGTGAAGGGAGCTGAGATTCCTCCTTCTGCCCCATTGCTGACATCCACAGAATGAGGGTTTGGAGCATGACTACATCCCCAAGAATCCACTCATGGGTCTCAGACTGTTTTCTTGTTTATTCTTTTTTTGGTGATCTTTGGCTCTTGGATGGAATGATCCCAAGGAAGGGAGACTTTGTTATCCTTTTACCTTGGAAGTGACAGACTTCCCGGGGCAGGTTTCAGTGGACTACATCTGATGCGGATGGTGGTTGATCTCCCAGAACTGCAGGACTGAGTCACATCGTTGGATCTATAGTGAAAGCCAGCCCCCATGGAGAAATGAGTCACTGATCAGTGCCATTAGAGAGTCACTAAGTGGAGTCACCATGGACCAGGTCCCTTGCTGGGGAAGTCTGGACTTGGGGTCTAGCTTGACACACAGGTAGTACATAGGCCTTGGTTTATACAAGGAGAGAGTGGGGATCAGAGAGATCTGGTCAAGGGGAAATGCACTGGTTTAGGAAAGGTTAGCATGTGCATAACACTGGGGTGAGTGTCCTTAGGCAGGAAGGGAAGTCTGCTACAGATCACCCAGTATTTCTCCCTGCCTCCAAGGCAGACTTGTTCCAGTAAAACCCAAGAAGTGGGGATCAGGGGACTCTCAGCCTTCAGCTGTCATTGCTGGGTGGATCTGCTAGACCTTGGACATGTTTTGGCTTGATAAATCATAGGTGGCTAGGAAGAGAAGGATGTAACAGAAATTGTGGGGTAGCCCAAGGTTTCACTTAGATTAGCTTGGCCTCACATCACCTGTAAAAGAAGATCACGTCTGGTATTCCCAAGGACTCCGGGTGGAAAAGTTCAGCTGGGGCAGTGATTCCATCCAGAGTCTTATCTGTTGTCACTCCTGCCAAATCAGAGCTCAATAGTAGCATTAGCTGGCAACTACTTCAATTCTTTCAATACCTGTCATTATCCAGCCTTCCTTCATCCCATCACATCCCTGAATGGCTCATGAAAGGGTGAACCAAAGGTTTGTCAGAGACCCCAGTGGCACTTGGCACCCAGGATGGAATAGAAAACAGGTCTGGAGGTTGTCTCCTCATCTGGGGCCTTTCACCTCAGAGCCTGGTAGCCTCACTTTCTCTTACACGTATACACACTCAAGCTGGAGCAGCTAGGTTACTCACCGATAAGTCGATCAGCGAGGCTGACCGGCTGTGAGGACACTCCAGCCTTGTAGCCTGTCATCTCTGGGGGAATGATGACCGCCTGGCACACGTAGGCTGTGATGGATTTGGAGAAATCTGACTCGCCCTCCGGAATCCGGAAGTCAGTGACATTGTCGGTACACACGGACATTTTCTTACCCTGGGCAGGAGGGCGTGGGGAGGAGTGAATTGTCACAGACCCCCCAAAAGGGAACAGGGAACAGTTTTTTTCATGTCTAAAATTTCAACCTTCTAGGGCCAGCCGAGTGGCTCAGTTGGTTAAGAGCTCACTCAAGAGTGTGAGCCCTGAGCAACAGGGTCACCGGTTTGATTCCTGGCCCGGGCTGAGCTGCCAACAGGTGGCAGGATGGCTCAGCTAAAAAAATATAAAATAAAAAAAAATGAAAATTTAGACTTCTAATGGTATGTTGCAGTGGAATGATTCATCCCAGATCTAATTACAAGACAGACATCTTAAAAAAGCTAAAAATAAGGCCTAGGCGTCCTAGTTTCTGGAACTCTGGCTTAGTTGTCCCCCAGTCTTTTTTGTTTCCTTGGAGTCATGGGGAAGCCCTATATGAGCAGGGTTGTAATGGCGGCAACTGATTTGGAGATCTCGTCCTCAGCCAACAGTTAAGGGCCCTTCTTATCCTAGTCAGTTTCCTAGACAGATACTAAAATACATGACTGATCCCATGAAATTTTTTGAACACCTGGGTCACGTTCTCTCTGCGTCTCCCTTGGTGCTGTGATTCTCCCATGCTTGTCTCAGAAGCACTTTCCAGACAGAGACTTCCTGAGGTTAAAACAGACCCCATAACAAGCCCCTTCCTGTCTTGGGATAGGACATCTTAGGACCAATTGGAACCTACGAGTATGCTATTAAAAAAAAATTATCAAGAGAAGACAGTTTGCTTCTCCAGTTTTTAGCAGCCCTCACTGTATAAGAAATCTGGAAGATGGTAGGAATTGAGACTCCTTTTTCTTCATGATTTTGTAATAGAGGAAATATGAGGTATTGTTCCTTTAAAAATATTAAGTTTATGGAATATCAATACATAACTTGTTTGCTAATATAAAATCACTTGTTCAATATGTTAAATTGAAGTGGATTAAGCATTTAGAATGTAGGGTTTTCAGTATTACATATTTTATTACAAATCGAGCTAAGTTGCTAAATCTGGTATCTCAGTTTATTTTCTAGATTGTAAGAAAACATGAGAACAGAAAGAAACCTTTACATTATAATAAAAGAGTTACTTTGTTTTTGAACTGAGGGTCTATAGTATGAGAGTACACAGTAAACATTTTTTAAAAGAATAAAGGAGCAAGCCAAAAAAAAAAAACACAAACTCTCCAAATTCCCCATCTGCATCTCTCTCCCTATTCACTGAATGAAACTTTTGCTACATGGGGCTTTAATCAGTCTCAATGCCTGAG